GCGCACGGGGGTGCGGCCCCCCTGACACAGCCCCTCCCCCCAGAGCCAGCAGGCAGGGACACAAAAGGTGAAAAAGGCCTAAAACCCAGCTTCTTAAAGAACTTTTATGTTCTTGTGTTCTTAAGTGATCCCTCTCCTGTCGCCCATTGCCAGCTTCTGGCAAACACCGGCTGAGGGCACCTTCCCTGTCCATGGTGGTTAAAAGCCATTGATTAACCTTTCCTGCATCAAATTATTCAGTTCTTGTCTGAACCCTCTTGTAGACTTCACCCTCACAATCTCCTCTGGCAAGGAGTTCCACTGGGTGACTATGAGTTCAGTGCAAAAATGCTTCCTTTTGGTTTGTTTTTAACTTGGTTCCTTACCAGTTTCATTCTGTCAGCCTGGTTCCTGAGTAGGAGAGAAAACATTTTCTTATTTACTTTCTGCACCCCTGACATCATCACATAAACCCCCGTCCCATTGCCCCTTAGTCGTCCCTTTCCCAAGCTGAGATGTTCCATGAACTTCTCTATCAGGGCAGCCAGGAGGAAGCCGGAGACTCTTCCTATGAGGGGCTCTGCCTCCTTCTGCCCCCTTTCCAAGTAGCTGGCAGTCAGTGCATCACACCGGGGTTGGGAACCAAGCAGTAAAGGAGCGGCTGGACCCTCTGCCACAGGTCCCTGTACGCTGGGAGTTTGCGTGGCCCCGCGGGGAGAATTTCAGACTAATGAGGGGCTTCTCCCAGCGGGCTCCGGGTGCTGTTGCTAGACATGGGGAACCTGGGGGGCCTGGTGGGGGAATAGAAATGGGGGAGAGTAGGAGCTGCTTTAAAAAAGCCTCTGCAGCTGGCCAGCTGCTCTGTGTCCCCTGCCCCTCCCCCTCCCTCTCCCCAGAAGCAGCCCTGTTCTATTGGGCTGCTTTAAAGAAAGGCTCCTCTGCCCCCTCCCCATCTCCCACCAGGTAACTCCAGCTGCTTGGCTCCTGTTCAGAGCACCAGGCTGGAAGTGCCTGTAAGAGAGAGCAACTCAGAGCTGAGAATGACTCTGTGCTAACTGGGTGCTGCCGGGCTGAAGATCGCTGTCCACCCGTGAGAGTCAGGGTACGTCTCACTGCACAGCTACTTCAGGATAACAGCACCCACAGCTACACCCACCACCTGTTATTTTGAAATCTTTCAGTTTTTTCCATATCACAAATCTTGCCTTCTTCAAACATAACTGGTGTGCCATTTCACCATCCTGTAAACCTTTTGTATGAGGGATGACTTGAAAAAGCACGTTACTTTGAACTTTGGTTGTGGGCCCAGAGCTGAGGGCACTAAATATTCTCCAAGCAGAGACAAGCAAACTAATGGAATGGATGCTGCCTAAATTATACCAGCTTCAGAGGGTAGCCAAGTTAGTCTGTACATGAAAAACTTAAAAAAAAACAACAAATGGTTTGGTAGCACTTTATAGACTAACAAAACATATAGCTGGTATCATGAGCTTTTGTGGGCACAGCTCACTTCTTCAGATGACCGGAGTTTTGAGTTTAGGATGTGCAGAGCCAAAATAAATAGGTCTGCACATCCTAAACTCAAAACTCTGGTCATCTGAAGAAGTGGGCTGTGCCTACGAAAGCTCATGATACCATCTATATGTTTTGTTAGTCTATAAAGTGCTACCAGACCACTTGTTTTTTAAGTTTAAATTATACTAGATGGTTTCAAAACTGCCAAGGAACAAGATGCCCTTTTGAGGCCACTGGTAGATGGACTCCAGTGGGGCATTCAAAAGTGTTTTGGTGAAATAATTGAGGACCTAGAGCTGACATCTTGATGCCAAATGTTAGGACCACTTGGAACGAGCATGAAATTGGGATTAGAAAAGGTAAGAGATTATGTCATTTTAGATCAATGAAACTGCAAAGGAGCTTGATGGGTATTTGGCCTCTTCAGGAGAGATCATGGATCTGCTGCAGTCTTTTCCTAGAATTAGGGAGCTGTGCGCCAGGGCCAACAGACCTCTGTCTCCATCAGCTGCCTGTGAGAGATTATTCTGTGTGATGGACTCATATGAAAAAATATAAGAGCAAAGATTGGTAATTTTGACGAAAAATGCTCCTATGGTTGAACAAACATTTTGGAAATTAATCATTACAATGGAAAAATGCACACCGTGAACATGGACAAAATAAATACATTTCTGTAATCTTACTTGTATTTAATTTGGTCCCTCTTCATCTTCATAAATGAAGGCAGTGACTATCATTGAATTCCATCATTGAAATATGTATAGTATAGTTGTGTATATAATATAGAATTATATTATAAGTGTTTATATAGTGTGTGTGTGTGTTAATGGTGATCTGCAAGAACTCGGGTGGCTAAGCATACGGTTCCATAGGATAACTAATTTTTACTTTTGAATACTTAAGTACAATCTTTGTACTTTTACTGAAGTAGTTTTACAGAAGATTACTTTGATTTTTACTTACTTAAATTTGTTTCAAAGTAGCAGGACTTAGACTTGCATTGCACAGAGTAATTACAGCATAGAGCAAAACAATGAATATGGGTTGCAGAGATGAGAGAGCAATTCTGTGAGTCCCGGGAATAAGACAAGAGAAACATTATAAGACTTTGTCCTATCTTTAGTTCCCTTTTTACATTTTAAACACCTTTAAAATGCAGTAAGCAAAAACATAGAGTGGGCATGGCAAAATGCAGGGACATCTGCAGCCCTACTGAGCATGCTCAGCGCCTCCGAGGTGAATAAGTGATTAAATAAATGTTTAAGTAAATAAAAAAGCCCCCTTGCCAGGGCCACTCTCTGACTTGAGCCTCATTCCCACTGGGGAAGCTGCTTTAACCTCTGCCCTGCCTGTGCTGGGGCTTTGCTCTCGGTGTTGTAGAGTTTACCTGGCACCCCTCCCCCCACCAGACCTGACTTTGCCCAGAACCCATCCTAGCCCCGCCTGCATCTGCTCCGCCCCCTGCAACGTCAATGGGATGACCCCACCTCTGCCCTTCAGCCACTCCCCCCCCCTTGTGAAAGGCTTTTAACAGGGACTAAACAAAACTCACAGCGCGAGGGCAGAGAAACGGGCAAGGGCTGCACCAGAACCGCTGCGCATGCGCAGTGCCCGGATATTACACTGGGATTAGCACAATCTCTCAGGCGAGCATCCCCCCGCCGCGCGCTGCCCCAGGACCAACCAGACGCGCTGGGCAGAAG